TTTTGTCAATTAGCTTTTTGGGGTTTTAAAGTCATTTCTGCTGTTTTGAGGTTTTCTTTTTAATGAGTGATGGTGTCTCGTTGGTCTGTTAGGGGTGTAGTGTCCAAATTTCGTGTCAATTCACCCAGTGGTTTTTGAGTTATGTTAATCCCACAAATGAACATTACATTTTTATTTATATAGATAATGTATATATAACAGGCATGGATAAACTTTCTGACCAACATAAACTTAGCAGTATTTCAGTGGAAGATCCCAGGGGGCATGCAATTCAACTCCCTTCTGCCGTGCACAAAAAGCACAATCAAAGAACCCTCTAAGTGGTGGGAGTAAAATAGGGTTTTGGAAGCAAAGAAGGTGAGGGGAAAAGTGTCTGGGTGGGGAAAAAAGGTAGGGGAAAATGCTTTCAGGAGCATGAAAGGCAGGGGAATGGGGAGGAGCAGAAAAGAGGGGGAAAGCTTGGAGGGAGAGGGGAAGGAGGGAACTGCAGAGGCCCTCGGTATACTTTGTGGAGCCTCAAAGGCTCCACGGAGCATACTTTGAGAATCGCTGATGTAGATCATCAATTGACAATAACAGGAGTGTCCCTTTTCTATGGTAACACTTACTGTACTTAAGCCATCTGAAATGCTGACAACAACTTCAATCTCATCTTCTCTCTAAAAATGGAAATCAAAGAATTAGTTGTAGAATAGTTGTTGAACTATAGACCTCACAGTTTTCCGGTTACAAAACTAATCTGGTTATGCAACTTTTGCTTGGTTTTTATTGCTTTGGTTACATAAGTATATCATTTTGCCAGAAGAAAACTTCCAGGAAACATTAAACAACACAAGCCTACAGAAAGCTACAGAAATAAGTCTTATTTAGTTCTTATTTGACAGGATGGTATTTCTGTTCAAACATGCACTGGACCTGTCTATTCAAACTACCTGCATTGATAGATTTGAGGGGAAATACTTGTCTTTTTTTTTTGCACTGACATATGTAAATAAATACATCAATTAGCAAAGTCTCCTTTAAAAAACTCTTTTCCACAAAGTCTTTTTATGCTTGCCAATCTCCCAATTTCCTCATCATCCCCTATCTAGTTGGAAAGGTTCAGCACCAACATTTGGAGAATAATGAAAGAAGGCTGAAGAACTTTTGGAATTGGGTTGCACCAGCATCTTTGAGGTAAACAACACAATAACTCTTCTGTTGAGGAAAAGAGGAATTGTCTTCTGGCTGATTCTGCCCTAACTTTGCATGCTCACCAACGATGGCCAAGGTAAATTAGAAATGCTTCCAGAATCCCTTATTGATCGTGTGTGAACAGCAAAACTTACTAGCATATTTTTTTAAAAAGTATGTAACTGTAAGTTTGGTCATCAATAGAAAAAAGATGTTGGTAAAAGAAAGCAGAAAATCAAAATTTGGATGAACTTTGAAAGGCTCAGAATCTTTTTCCTTACTTATGCAAGGCTTATCTGACCTGGATGTTTTATTTCACATAAACATCATTAGTTTTGAATAAACAATTTTCTGAAACAAGTTAATTTGCTCTTCTTTTTGTTAATTCAATGTTATTTCTGTCTCCGGTACTAAATTTTATGTTAAAAGGTCTTGCTCAGGAAAACATCTACTTTGTTACCTGAGGTACACTTGGATATGAATTTTAGGAAATAAGTATTAAGCATGAAATTAACCAGCAAATCAAATTGTACTGCAATAAATATTAAAATAACAATTAATTAAAATAATAGGCATTCATCATACTGATAGTCCACTTACCTAAAAATGTTGCCATAAATACATTTTGTCTACTCCAATGGATGAGTAATATAATCTTACAACTAACCAAAAAGTTTCCAGTGCATGTAATAAACCTGTCTCTGGCTATACCATTTAAGACAAAAAGTGGAGAAATCACAAATGCAAATACATTTTAAAACTCCTGAACAAATTAATGTCAGGAGAAGATTTCTAGTTTAGACAGCTCTTTCTTTTTCTGTGTAGATCATGTTTCTTGATAGTGTATTGATCACACAAGACTGTGATAAATATGATGTGTGGTTTGAATGAAATTCTATGAAGGTGTATGGTTGAGGTCTATATACCATCCTAAGAAGAATAAATTATAGAAAACTGCAAAAAGCGGATGAGGGTAAAACTGCAAAACTGCTGACATGACCAGAGACAAATTATTAACTCTGTGGTGGAAAACAACATGTTTACATTACCATAGACAATGACATTTTTAAGTTAAGGAAGTCAAACAATGCTCCTTAGTTAAAAAGGAAAATTAACATCTGTCTGGAACTGATGGAGTCAGCACGTTTTAGCTGGCAAAACAACCTGTCAGTCATTTACAACAATTTGGAACATCATCAGGAAAATTGCTATATAAGAGATCAATTTATTTTCCAAAATTGTGTCAGATCTGCAGTGGAACAGAGTCTGTTCACCTGCCACTTTCTCCAAGGGACAGAGAGAAATGGTGTATTTGCAGAATGACAGATCTGCAGGAAAAAGCAATCCAGCCTACGTGCAGTTTTCTTCTCCAGGACAGAAAAAAAGGATAGTAATGTATGCATGATGAATGAATGAATGTTTATATGTGTGTGAATGCTGAGTAAAATGTAATATCTCCTTTGGTTGTGTACCCAAAATAGCTATATAGTCTGCGGGGGTCTACATCTTACTCTGTATTGCTCAGTGATATTCTCTGTTTCACTGGAAATGGAATCAAATAACCTTTATAATGTTTAAAAAGTATTCATGACAAGACTTCCTCCTAGAAGCAATATAACCCAAATATGAATTTATCATCTCAGTAAAAATAGACCATCAACAGCTAGCATATTAAAAACCAAAATTGGGTGTTGAGGCATAGCTATTTCTGCTGTTTTGCATTATACCTCTCGGTCCAGCTCCTCGATGAGCGTAACATTTCCATAATTTGCATTGATGGCAAAGTAATTTCTTGACCCAGCTTCAAACGCCATGCCATATGTTACAGGATCACCTTCTGGATCAGTTCCATTTAGAGTATATACATGAGTACCTGGAAGGAAGAGATTTGGAAAATGACTTATAAATAGTTCTAGGAGATTTCATCAATAAAAAATCATCCTTACGAAATATACCCGTTAAAGCAACAATCTGGAATCCCGTTAAAGAATGGCTGAAGGAAAATAAGATAAAGATGCTACCATGATACCACCAAACAGTAAGAGGACTATGATTAATAATAAGTTATAAAGATAAAGCAAATAGTATGGAAAATGAGAGTAAAGAAGAAATAAAGAAAAGTTTAGTGACGAGGGGAAAAAAGAGAAAAAAGAACGAGAAAGGATGAAGATAGGAAAAACAAAAAGAAAATAAAAGAGAAAGAGAAAGAAATTAAGAACAGAAATAAAAAAAGGAAAGAAATTTGAAACTACTGATGCTTGCAAATTAGAAAAAGAATAAACTAGAAGAGTTGTTTCAAAAGTAACTATAAAGGCCATGCTACAGAGGGGTGGAGGTTTGCTATTGTCGTTGTTGTTATGGTTGTTGTTGTTTTTTTGGGGTTTTTTTCTTCCTTCCCTTTCTCTCTCTCTTCCCCTTTCCCTCCCCTTTTTCTCTCATCTTTCCCTTAACCTTCTATTTAGCACTCTAACACAATACTAAAAAAAATCATGTTAAATGTCAATATTATTTTATAATAGCAATATCATTTTAAAAAGAAAAGAATCAAGCCTTACTTATAATAGTATATTTTTAACATGTAAATGTGTCTATTATAGGCATTGTACATATTTCAAGCAGAGCTTGAAAAGTTCCTTTTTAAATTAACCCCCCCTCCCAAATTCTATGAAGATTAAATTCTTAATCTGATTTCCTATATTACATCAACTGAATTGATTCTGATCCTGTTAATTTGCTCTGTTTTTATGATATTTCCTATGCTATTATATGCTGCTATCCGCCTTATCCTTTAACCCTTATCCTTTAACCAGCTCACATAGTGGTCCTCTCCCCCCCCCTCTCCAAAATTAGTCTGCAGTTACCGTTGATGCTTGCTATTATTTTTATGCTGTTTTATGCTACCTTAATTGTTATTACTTTGTTTTTAATTGTATTCTGCCTTGGGATTGGCCCCATGTAAGCTGCCCTGAGTCCCTTCGGGGAGATAGAGGCGGGGTAGAAAACTAAACTACTACTATGAGGGGTATTTTTTTAAGTAAAGTCCGTTTTGTTGTAGACACTAGTAGTTCGCACGCATACCACAACGAGCACGTGCGTCGTGTACCAGCATGCCTCGGGAACAACTGTGCTCTGTTTCCGCTCTGTAGCTAACCTGTACGGTTCTGTTCTGTGCTTTAAAAATGTTTAAGACTATCAACTCACCCTCCGCATGTGAGGTTCGCTCAGTGATACGGTTTTTGTCAGCAAGGAACCTGCCTGCTGCAGAAATTCATTGACAGATTTGTGAAGTGTACAATGATACGAAAGCGAAATGCGTACGTGGGTACGACAATTCAAAAATGGCCATGACAACGTCCATGATGAGGACCACTCCGGTCACCCTTCTTTGATTACAGACAATTTGGTGGCTTCAGTTGAAGTGAGTGAACCTCACATGCGGAGGGTGAGTTGATAGTCTTAAACATTTTTAAAGCACAGAACAGAACCGTACAGGTTAGCTAAGGAGCGGAAACTGAGCACAGTTGTTCCCGAGGCATGCGCTACATGGTACACGACTCGCTCGTGAACTACTAGCGTCTACAACAAAACGGACCTTACTTAAAACTATCCCTTGTACTTCTTCTTCTTCTTCTTCTTCTTCTTCTATTCTTAATTACAATTTCTAAAAGTGACAGTTTACTTTCCTAATCCCCCCCTAAATTAATCATAATTATTATTCTATAGCTTGTAGGAATGCTACAAAGTGCTAGACATTCTTTTTTCCTAACTCATTGTCAAGTAAACAAAGACAACCTAATAGAGACCATGATTCAGTACATGAAACATGTGACATTCAATTAGTGCGGTCACACTTCTGCAATGATGAAAGTAACTTCAAATAACACATTCTAAAAAAAGTGAATTTTCCTTATCACGTTGTCATTGTAGTGTAGTCATAATTTTATTACAATGTAATCATAACCACAATTATGTGGAACTTACTACTCTGACATTCTGAAAGTAGTACTATATTTGTATGGAGGTAGTAATCAGTCAATTAACCTTAATGCTGTGCTGCTGCCTGTTAGGAGGTTAGGAGGAGGTGAGGAGTTACTTGAGATGCCTCTGTAAAAGTGGGTTTCAAGAAAGGATTTATATAGGCTTCCTAAGCTACGGGCTCTTACAGAACAATCTAGAGATAATACTTCAATAAAGAAAAGTGTTTTATTACAGCTCCTAGATTTTGCATATTATTTTTACCTCTATATCCACTCATTCCATTTTTTGGATTGGTTATAGCAACTTCTTATTTCTGCACCAGGGCTCTGCTCTTCTGAATTTGTTTTTTTTTTTAATGGAGCAGAGTCATTCTGGTTCAAAGGACAAAATTATTTTAAAAATGTTTCAGGGTTATAATGCTAGAGTGTCAAAGTGTAATCTTACTGATGCACTGCCATACTATTGCACTCCAACTCTATGGGGAAAAAATTAAAAAGGAAAAGGAAAGCAGATTAATTTTTGTTCTTAGAACTAAAAAGAAATCCATATGAAGAAAGAAATAAAATATTCCAGGAATTGCCAGAAAATAGACTGGGACAAAAGAAATATCAAATACCAGTATATAAAACAAACTAAGGCTCCTTCTACACAGCTGAATAAAATCCCATATTATCTGCTTTAAACTGGGATATACTTAGGCAATCCCTTGTTGTCTGAGTAGGATTGTCTTCCAAGATTGGTGTACTGATGGTGGGTCTGTAGGTGACTGTGGAGTCCTATTTTTGATCTGCATGTTCTCCCACAGTGAGGGCATTGGTTTCTAGGTAGCAGGCAGTCCCGGTCAGGGTTGGCTTGACACTCTTTCCTCTTGGCACGTTTCTCTCTTTTGCCCTCCATCCGTGCCTCTTCAAATTCTACAGTACTGTTGATCACAGCTGACCTCCAGCTGGAGTGCTCTTGGGCCAGGGCTTCCCAGTTCTCAGTGTCTATGACAGAGTTTTTAAGGTTGGCTTTGAGCCCATCTTTAAATCTCTTTCCCTGACCACCAACATTTATTTATTTATTTGCTATGCTTCTATACTGCCATTCTCAGCCCGAGGGTGACTCATGGCCGTTTACAAAATGGCACAATTTGATGCCCACAACAGTACAAAAATAATTTAAACATTAAAAACATTTAACACAGGTAAAAATTCATTACAAATTAACATCAGTAACACAATAAAAACCATAAGTCCTCCGCATTTCATTACCAGTCATTATCCAGTCACGTTGTCCAACCGTTCTGAGATCAGAGTTTAATAGCTACACTGTGTTTGGGAAGGCCTGCTCATATAGCCAGGTTTTAACTTTTTTGCGAAACGTTAAGAGGGTGGGGGCTGATTTAATGTCCCTGGGGAGGGCATTCCACAACCGAGGGGCCACCGCTGAGAAGGCCCTATCCCTCGTCCCCGACAACATTCCGTTTTCTGTTCTTGAGTTCGGATCTTGGAAGACGCCTGTACATGAATTTATTTTATGTGTGGAGGTCAGTGCACAACTGATCAGTTGTGCACAAACTGGGATATATGGCAGTGTGGACTTGGATATTCCAGTTCAAAGCAGAAATTGTGGCCTTGATATTCTGGGTTATATGGTTGTGTGGAAGGGCCTTAAGCCACAAATACTATAATCTCCTCTTTTCCTCCATCTGAAAGAGCCATGTGAAGGCCTAGAATTTATTTCATCTAATGCTTGTAACCGTCAGCAACTTGTGGGTGTATATATATATAAAAAATGAGGAAAGTTCCAGAAGCTCTCCTCATAATCATTTGGATTTTACTCCAAATCTTATTTAGTTAGCCACTAAATAAGGCATCTTAACCCCCTGGGGTCAAATCCAAATTGGGCTTTGATGAACTTCTGTAGCATTTCTAGAACAGAAATATATAACAGCAGGTAGCATTGGAAGGAATATCTGCTTAGCCCAATCCTATGAGTATCTGTTAGGATTGGGTTCAATAATATTACATACTTTGCATAGGATTGCTTCAGCCCTAAACTGGTTTAAATGCCACCTCTCCCCTGAATTGTAGGAATTATAATGTTCTAAATGAAACCAAAGGTTCTAATAAATTTGAAAGAGGTTTCCCAAGGGAATCGGAATGCTTTTGTCATAGCATTTTGAATAAATATAGGGCCTGTGCATGCATGCTCTTCAGTGAGTCCGACATTCAGCTTCCATGCCTGCTTCATGTCTTTGTAAAATCTTGCTCCAGATTCATGGTCATGCTGAGATTTTTGTAAGCCTTGTATCATGATTTCAAGCTACTGCATTTGGTGTTGCTCGAGGGTGCTCCTGACTCTTCAAGGGACTTTGTTCTTCCAATCTTTTGGACTTAAGGACTATTTCCTGTGGACTTGGTTAATTGGACTTTGGAACTATCCTGTTCTCCTGATGTGGATTTTGCTGGTTAAATTTACTTTGCTATTGGATTGTTTTTTTGGACATTCTATTATTTCCTTTTTTATTGCATTTTACCTTTTGGCACTTGCTGTATTAATCTTCAATAAACTGCTTGCTTATTAAAGAACATTGGTGTGTTTGTGGGTTCAAAGGTGCTCATCACAGCCTTGGTGTGTAACAAGTTTTTTCTCAGGCTAGATTCACTATCAGGGTTTTTATCCCCCCATGCTGGCCTCCAGCCTTCAGATAGTTTACATTCTTCCACTTGGGTTGAGCTCATGGCATGGATTCTGGTCTGGTCTTTCAAAGACACCAGAGTATTTCCATGACAATGCATGTGCTCCCCAGATTTTAAAATAGAAATCAGGAAAGGTTATGGGTACGTCTTACAGAGGAATCATTCCTCAATAGCTACATCCCTCACCCTCCCTTTTGCACATATAAAACAA